TGGCTGTGACGGGGCGTGCAGTGCAGGTGAGATGGCTGTGACGGGGCGTGCAGTGCAGGTGAGGGTGGCTGTGACAGGGCGTGTGGTGCAGGTGACTTGCTCCTAAATGAGATGGGGGTGGCCGTGACAGGGTGTTCAAATAACAGAAGCTTGAACATGCACATACTTTAGAAGCAACCAGAGAGTGTACATGTGTGTACAGTGTGTGTGTTTACCTGTGTTATTTGTCATAGTATGAAAATACTTTCTGGAAAGCAGTGGGACATTATGTAACAAATCCTTATTCTTGCATGCTTTCTGATACTTAGTCCCACAGTTTAAAAGGTATTTCTTAGCAGAGACATACAAGAAATAGTTTAACAAGGATGTTCATGACTACATTCTTTTTTTTTTTTTTTTTGAGTCAGAGCCTTAAGTTGTCACCCTGAGTAGAGTGCTGTGGCATCATGGCTCACAGCAACCTCCAATTCCTGGGCTCAAGCGATTCTTCTTCCTCTGCTTCCCAAGTAGCTGGGACTATAGGCACCTGCCACAATGCCCGGCTATTTTTTGGTTGTAGTCATCATTGTTTGGTGGGTCCGGGCTGGATTCGAACCTGCCAGCTTAGATTTATGTGGCTGGCGCCTTAGCTGCTTGAGCCACAGGCGCTGAGCCATGACTACATTCTTTTATAATAGGAAAGTATTGAAAATAAAGTGGGATGTAAATGAGATGGCTTGTATCTGTGCAAAAGAATAGTATTATAGAATACTATTTAATGTGGGCTGGGTGCAATGGTCACATTTGTAATCCTAGCACGTCAGGGGACTGAGGTAGGAGGTTTACTTGAGACCGAGAGTTCGAGACCAGCCTGGGCAACATAATGAGACCCTGAATCTTCAGGAAAAAAAAAAAAGCCAAGTATAGTGGTATAATCCCAGCTACTTGGGAGGCTACGGTGAGAAGATGGCTTGAACAGATTTTTGAGGCTGCAGTGAACTGTGTTCACACCACTGCACTCCAGCCCTGGTGACAGAGCAAGAGTGTGTCTCAAGAAAAAGGAGGGGAGGAATATTACTTACTGAGTCAGGTACCGGTGTGAGCCTGTAGTCCCACCCTACATGGAGGTGGGAGAGGGAGGATAGCTTGAATCCAAGGAGTTCAAGGTTGGCCTGGGCAACATAACATAGTGATTCTGTCTCAAAAAAGATTAAAGAAAAAAAGTGTTTTTGGAGGAAGTAGGTCACAAATTAGAAGGTTCTCTATATTTTTATATTCATTTTAGTGTCCACTGATAGATCATTGCCTGGCTTAGATATAAGAGGGGGAGGCCCAGCACTTGTAGCTCAGCAGCTAGGGCACCGGCCACATACACTGGAACTGGTGAGTTTGAATCCAGCCCAGGCCTGCCAAAGAACAATGACAACTACAACCAAAAAATAGCCAGGTGTTGTGGCAGGCACCTAGTCCCAGCTACTTGGGAGGCTGAGGCAAGAGAATCACTTAAGCCCAAGAGTTTGAGGTTGCTGTGAGCCATGATACTGTGACACTCTACTCAGGGTGACAGAGTGAGACTCTTGTCTCAAAAAAATAAAGTAGGAAGGGGAGGACCTTGGCTGCCTGGTTAGCCATTGATTGCCTGTGGGTCCCTGTCCTTTTTTTTTTTTTTTTTAAATTAATGGAGTTCATTAAATGAAAACTGAAATGTTTTAAAATGACCAATCTTGTACTTACTCTACTGAAGTGTGGCATTGATATTGCCCTATCCACATTAGGAAGGGACTGCAGGTGGTTCCAACACCAGGGGAGTCTGATGACAGGAGTGAGTGACTGAGCCAGGAGGTCTCTCCATGGTCTTCACGTCACTGTCCTATAGCTGAAGCATTTGATGAGGAGCTGTTGTTTGAGTTGAATTGTCCCTGTCTGCTCTTTCTCTGCAGTGATAGGAACAGTCCTTGCTGTAAAAACTGTCAGTTTGAGACTGCCCAGAAGAAGTGCCAGGAGGCTATTAATGCGACCTGCAAAGGCGTGTCTTACTGCACAGGTATGTATCTCCTTGCTGCTCTTGCAGTTCTATGGCTCAGCTGTATATTGTCTGTTTGAAAAACAAGACTATATTTTGTTCAGGTGAAAGCAACTTGTTTTAACCTCACTTGCAGAGTTGAGTTTATGGTACTCCTGAGTTGGCATTGGTGTGTGTGAGACCCATTTTTGTTTATTTCTCTCTTATTCTCATCACTTTCCTTCTCTTTCCCCTCACAGACATCCTTTCTACTCTGGTTAGTGTATAGCCTTGAAAGATAAACGGTGTTATTCTGTCTGTGTATGTCTTAATGTGCCAAAGTGGTATTCTGCTTTAGATCTACTTGTGAAGAATTCAGTGCTATGTTTTTAATTCCTATCTGTGTTATGCCGCACGTCTCTGTCTAAATATCTGTGTCTGTATGTAGCTCATCGTGGGGCACCTGAGCAGCACTCAGTGATGGGACTTACTGCATTCTGCTGATCCATTCCAAGGGAGAGATCCTGGGTTGCCTTCCTCTCCTTGACAGTGTAGATGGGACTCTAGTTAACATCCTGCTATCTTCAGGATCTGAGTAAGAGTTTCCCCGAGTGCATGCCGAGGAGGGGGTTGCTTAGTCACAGAGGCAGGGGCAGCATGGTGGGTCGTTTGTGCCTCGGGGCTCTTGCATCCCCATGTCCCAGGCCACACTTGATGTTACCTAGCTATCTTAATTTTTCCTGATCTGAGGACTGTAAGGTGATTTTTCATTCTTTTTTTTTTGAGACATAGTCTCACTATGTCACCCTCCCCATACAGTGCCGTGGCATCACAGCTCACAGCAACCTCAAACTCTTCAGCTTAAGGGAGTCTCTTGCCTCAGCCTCCCGAGTAGCTGGGACTGTAGGCATCTTCCACAATGCTTGGCTACTTTTAGAGACAGGGTCTCGCTCTTGCGCTTAGGTTGATCTTGAACCCATGAGCTCAGTCGATCTGTCTACCTCAGCCTCCCAGAGTGCTAGGATTACAGGCCTGAGCCACTGTACCCAGTCTTGATTTCTCATTCTTACTTACATTTTTCTCAACCATCTCTTTATATTTTGTGGGTTGTTCAGATTTCCCCTGTGAATAGCCAGTTCATATACTTGGTTCATGTTTTAAATTGGGTTACATTTTTGCTGCTGTGGATTTAGAGGAATTCTTGTATAACAATCCGTTTGTTGTTGTATGTACCTCACCCTTGTCTGTTTCCTTTTTGGAACAGAAATCTTTAATTTTAATGTAATTAAATGCATCATTTTGTTGTGTGCATGTGTTTATTATTATTATTATTATTTTCTTTAGAGACAGAGTCTCTATTGCCCTTGGTAGAGTGCTGTAGCATCACAGCTCACAGCAACCTCCAACTCCTGGGCTTAGGCTATTCTCTTACCTTCGCTTCCTGAGTAGCTAGGACTACAGGCACCCACCATAATGCCGGGCAGTTTTTTGTTGCAGTTTGGCCGGGGCCAAGCTTGAGACCTGCCACCCTTGATATATGGGGCCTGCGCCCTGCTCAACTGAGCCACAGGCACTGCCCCCAGCTATTCTGGGGCCAGGTTTGAGACACATCACCCTTGGCATATGAGGCCAGCGCCCTACCCACTGAGCCACAGGTGCTGCCCATCCCAAAGAAAAATTTATTTCTGATTTGTGGACAGTTACAAAGATATTTTCCATAATGGCTTCTGTTAGCTTCAAAATTTTTACTTTTACATTTAGGACTTCAGTCTATCTGTCCATATTGATTATGCATATCTTCTGTAGTTTTGTCAGTTGCTGTAAAATTTCAAAGCTATGTTATATTGGGTAAAGAAATGGACACATTTCTTTATATCTTCTTGGAGAGCTGCTGGTCTTCAGTATAAATGTGTTTCTCTTTGACCCTTGTGATGTTTTCTTGACTTAAATTGTCAAAAAACAGTATTCAGGCTCCATACCCATAGCTCAGTGGTTAGGGCACCTGCCACATACGCCAAGATAGGTGGGGTTGAACCCGTCCCAGGCCTGCTGTACAACAATGACAACTGCAACAAAAAAATAGCTGGGTGTTGTGGCTGGCGCCTGTAGTCCCAGCTGCTTGAGAGGCTGAGGCAAGAGAATTGCTTAAGCCCAAGAGTTGAAGGTTGCTGTGAGCTATGATGCCACAGTACTCTACTGAGGGTGACATAATGAGATTCTGTCTCAAAAAACAAAACAAAACAATACTCAGTTTGCTACCTCAGGTTTTTTGTTCATCTAGTATGTCTATTCATTCTTAGATTTTTCACAATTTCTGTCTCACTTGATTTTATTTTATTTATGTATTTATTTATTTATTTATTTTGAGACAGAGTCTTACTTTGTTGCCTCGGGGTGTCATAGCTCACAGCAACCTCTAACTCTTGGGCTCAAGCGATTCTCTTCCCTCAACCTCACGAGTAGCTGGGACTACAGGCGCCGGCCACAACTCCCAGCTATTTTTAGAGATGGAGTCTTGCTCTTGCTCAGGCTGGTTTTGAATCTGTAAGCTCAAACAATCCGTCCACCTCAGCCTCCCAGAGTGCTGGGATTACAGGTGTGAGCCATCACACCCAGCCCAATTTGATTTCATTTCATACAAATGATCTTACAATACATGGTGTCTCTCTCTCTCTCTTTTTTTTTTTTTTTAGAGACAGAGTCTCACATTATCGCCCTCGGTAGAGTGCTGTGGTGTCACAGCTCATAGCAACCTCCAAATCCTGGGCTTAGGTGATTCTCTTGCCTCAGCCTCCCAAGTAGCTGGGACT